GGGGTAGTTTAAAGGTTACTCGAAACAATCATTTATCCATTATTTTAAATTTAATCAAGCTTTCGCGAGAATCTAAATATATTTCGGTTCGAACATGGGAAAATTCGAACATACAAATGAAAAAAAAAGTATAATATAGAAAAGTTAAAAAAAAGAATACGATTTACAATAGATTAGAAAATAGGTCACGAAGAAGAAGAAGAACAAGAACAAGAAAAAAGAAGAGAAAAGGGTTTCTCATTCTGATACACTATAATTATTGTTATTGTTGTCATCGTTATCGTAGATACGTGTGCATGTTTTTGAACGAAAAGTAAAATAGAAAAAAAGAAAAAGAAGACAAAAAAGAGATAGAAAAGAGAGAAAGAGGGGGTGGGTAATTTAAAGAGGGTGTATATTATAAAGAAAAGATATATTATATACCCATCCTATAGTTATAGTTAAAACACGGTGTACTAAGAAAAACGAGTGGTTGTTGAGAGAAAAAGACAGACACGAAAAATAAGAGAGAGAGAGAAAGAAGAAATACGATGATGTTTTCTTCTTCTTTTTTTTTTTTTCTTCGTCATCTTCATCGTTGTCGTAGTTGTCTGGTACTAGAAAACCTTAACAAGCTTCCTAAAGTGTAGTCTTCCGTGACACTGCGACTCTGAAAGAACAGAACCGAAAATAAGACACGAGATAGAAGTTAGGTAGGAATTGTAAGAGAGAGAGAGAGAGAGAGATAGAAAGAGAGAGAGAGAGGGAGTGAAAAAGAGGGTTTTGGATAGAACAGAAGATGATAGGGGATGGAGGGGTCTGGGGTGAAGTGGGAGTAGTTGGATAGATGAATGTGGGATAGGGGTTGGTGGGATAGGGGTTGGTGGTATAGTTGTTACAGACAAGGGGAAGGAAGGGCCTTGGTAAAAAGAAGAGTCCTGTCCGTTTCCCCTTACTTTTTTATCCGTACTGTGTCTTCCTAGATTGCACCCCAATTCCACTAACGAAGACCCAACCCCTATACCTTTTCTTTAATATCTACCCTCTCGTTCCTTCGTTCTAAAGCAATGTCGAGTCACCCTTTAAAAGTCTTGGCCAAGGGTGCCTAGATTAATGTACTACTATGTTGTCTAGTCACGTTTTATATTTATAAATATAATATTGTTTATATATATGTGTATGTATCTTTCAACCCTTTTTTTTTTATCTTATTCTTCTTTTTTATTTTAATTTTTTAATTTTACTTTGTATTCGGGATAAAGTAAGAAGATAGTATTGTTTATATATATGTGTAAAACATTTAAAAACAAAACAAAGTTATTTATTTTTAAATTATATTTAAATATAAAGATATTATTGTATTATTGTTTAATGATTGAATATTAAAAGAAAGAGAGTGAGATTACGATTATGAAGATGAAAAAGAATAAAAAAATAAAAATGTGTAGAATTGGTCGAGAGAGTGATACTACTCGGTGGTTCGGCCCTTTCACCATGGGCAATACAACGGGACCCATTAACGGTGAAACGTCACGTTGCCGATCAAACCAGATGTTCATTCGTCGACGAAGCAGATGATATTGCACCGTGTCTACGTTTGCGAAGCCTTGATTCTCTTTTAGAAGTTAAACTTGATCCCCCAAGATTCACTTTCGGTTTTGCACCATTCGTCGACGGAGCCGTCCTCCCGCATCCGATAAATCAGGTTCGTATTATATACTTACATTTTATTTAACTAATATTTTGACATTTAATCAATATTCATATATCTAAATTTTATTCGCAAGTTCTAATGATTTTGTTAAAATAAAATAATATATATTTAATTAAATTATAATTTGATTGGCCCACGTGTTATTTATCTAATATTTTCATTTAATTAATATTCACATATCTAAGTTTTATT